CCCCCCCCAAAATAAATAAAAAACATGTCTTAAAAAACCAAAACCATGGTGATCATTATAAATGTGGATGATCATGGTTTTCCCCTGCACTCAAGCAAATTCAATTAAGAATATTACCCATGCAGCGTGCTTACTTACTCCTTAACCATTCCTGTGCTGTCTAGCTCTTCTATTTTAAGAAAGTGTTCTTTTTTAGCACCTCGTGCTCCAATCAACTGGAGATTGGGCAAACTGCTTGGCCAGGGGGCCTTTGGCAGGGTCTACCTCTGTTACGATGTCGATACAGGAAGAGAGTTGGCTGTTAAGCAAGTTCAGTTTGACCCGGATAGACCTGAGACCAGCAAGGTAAGAATCACTGCACACAGAAAACATTTTTAATAAAATAAGTATAACACATGATAGGATTTTTTTTCCCCTTAATACACATTATGTGCAAAACAGATAATTAGATATGCTTATCTACTTTGTACTGTGGATTTTCCTCTTAATGCTCAGTTATATTCTCACTCTGATTTAGTATAGCTTTAGCATACCTTCAAGGACTGTTATGAAAGTTATTGTTTAGAGACTTAAAAATGTTTATTCCTTAGGAAGTAAAACTTTCAGAATTAAATCACCTTGATGGTCAATGAAATTCAAATTTTTTACTTTTACTAACAATGCTGTGTAGACTTAACAGTGAGTTCTGTCTTTCAGGAAGTAAATGCACTTGAGTGTGAAATTCAGTTGTTGAAAAATTTGCTGCATGAACGAATTGTTCAGTATTATGGCTGTTTGAGGGATCCCCAGGAAAAAACACTTTCCATATTTATGGAATATATGCCAGGGGTAAGTTAGTGTGTCCTTTGAAAATAGACATGTTTTATTTAAAGGTTTAGTTGAGGAAGGAAGAACAATAAAACTTTGATTATAAAATGTTATACCTAGTTAATGAAATTTTGGAAGAGTTTTAAATAATTAGTAATATAATTTTATTTTCTGTCTTCATCTATCTTTGTATTTTTTAACTCACTTTTTAAATGCTGATATATACTAAAATAGGTTTCAAACATCATCACAGTTCATCCTGCGATTTCTCTAAGAGCCTTAAAAATATTCATAATAACTGCTTTGTCCAAACCAGGATCCCATTCAGGACCCAGTGCGTTTAGCGCTATGCCCCTTACTCCTCTTTTAACCTAGAGCAGTTTTTATATGACATAGATTTGACATCCTTATTTTCTGTAAACTCCAAGTTAGATCTAAAGTCTAAATTAGACTCAAATTCAGCATTTTTGTTAGAATGCATCATAGATGATGCTGTGTACTTTATGTTGCATCCTGTTGGGAGATACACAGTTTTGGGTTATTCATTATTAGTGATGCTAAGATTAACAGTGAGATTAGGGTGCTTGACACCCTGATTCTTCCATTGTCAAGTTTTGTTTTTCCCTGAAGACCAGAAAGTAGTGAGTTAGAGAGTGGCATACAGTTCCTTTCCAGCTGTCACCTAATGTTTTTAACACGGATTGATAGTCGTCACCTCAGTAAATGATTTTATTAGGAGCTACAAAGTGTGACTTGCAAACTCTGTCATTCCTTCTATGTTATTTTATAATATGTAGAGTACATTCTAATACTAATGACTTTCAAGATGGCGGTATATTTACTTATTTCAAAGGACATGCATTTCGCCCTGGCTGGTTTGGCTCAATAGTTAGAGTGTCAGGCCGTGGACTGAAAAGTCTCTGGTTCGATTCCTTGTCAAGAGCATGTACCTCGGTTGCAGGTTCAGTCCCCTGCCTCGGTTGAGGCACGTGCAGGAGGCAACTAATCAATGTGTCTCTCTCACATGTCTGTCTGTCTGTCTGTCTGTCTCTCTTTCTCTCTCTCCTTCCCTCCCTCCCTCTCTCTCCCTCCTTCTCTCTCCCTCCCTCCCTCTCTCCCTCTCCCTCTCCTTCCCCCTCCCTCTCCCTCCCTCTTCCCCCTTTCCCCCTTCCACTCTCTGAAAAGCAATGGAAAAAATATCGTCAGGTGAGGATTATAAATAAATAAGTAAATAAATAAAATAAAAAGACATGCATTTCCATAATTTAATAGGCTGTACATGATTTATGGGTCTTTAAGGGAATAGCTTATTAGAATTATATGTAGAATGTACAAAGTTGCAGGGTAAGCTTATGGATCTTAAAACTGGACCAGCATGTGATAGTAATGGTTTTAACGTACCCAGTCTCACAAGAGCAACAGCAAACTTTTTGTTTCTGTCATCGTGAATTATTAACTGTTTATAGTGATACCATTGTTAGTCATTATTGCTACTTTTATTTTCATAGATTCTGTTGGCAATGTAAATGAGTTCTTAAAAAAAATCTCCACTTGGAAAACAAACTGGTGGGATGTATTAAAGGTCATAAAAATATTGAAGCCTTTTGACCTGGTAATCTCACAGCGATGTATTCTACAGAAGTAACCCAAAAGAAGGAAAAAGCTGCATACATTTATTTTAGTATTACCTGTGATGGGAAAAAAAGGAAATTCATTGCCCATGGTGGAAGTAAATTATGATGGCATTGTCCAAGAGAATATATGTTAAAAATTAAAATTGTGAAGGCTATGCAGCAAAGTTGGAGAAAGTAATTACATAAGAGCAGAAGAGAAGAAAATGCTTTTTTTAAAAAGTTCTTAGTGATTTTTAGAGGGAGAGTAAGGGAGAGGTAGAGATAGAAACATCAATGAGAGAGAAACCTCTGTCAGCTGCCTCCTGCACGCCCCCTACTGGGGTTGGAGCCCTCAACCCAGTCATGTGCCCCAACTGGGAATCGAACCAGTGAACCAGTGACCTGTTGGTTCATGGGTTGATGTGCAACCACTGAGCCATACTGGCTGGGCATAAAATGGTTTTTAATAATGATTATGATGTATATGTCTATATTTTAAATATATCTTTATTGATTTCAGAGAGAGGAAAGGAGAGAGAGAGAGGGAGAGACATCAATGATGAGAGAGTCATTGATCGAGCCCACAACCCGGGCATGTGCCCTGACCAGGAATCGAACCCCGATCGCCTGTATCCTAGGTCAACACTCAACCACTGAGCCACACCTGGCTGGGCAATTATGATACTTTAAAAGTATCTGTATTTGGACAAGGACAGAGAAACTTAGAAAAATGAAAATGTGTTATGTTGGGATTGTGATTTTTTTTTTTTTTTTTTTTTAGAT